GGATCCAGGCACCCCCATTCTAACCCAGTCCCCCTCTGCTCCCCCAGAGCCAGGCACTCCCAGCCGTCCGTCGTCCCCTCCCCCCCTACCTCCGCTCTAACCTAATGCCTGGGTCCTGGAGCCATCTTCGCCACACGCTTCTCCCTTCAGGCTCTGGGCCACATGCACAGAGCAGTCGGCTGTGAGCAATCCGGGCACCAGTTCAGAACCAGAAGGAGCTGCATTTCTTTAATCAAAGGGCCACGTGTGGCTTGCGAGCTGCAGGCTGGCCACCCCTGCTATAAACAATGTAACCGGGCGGGCCACACTTAGATCATTTCTAAAGATGTAGTCGCGGGCTGCTAAAGAATTCAATTGGGCCGCATGGTTGACATGACTGCCCTAGTGGTATCCGATGGATTTGCTCTTGTGCCCTCCGGCGCCACGTGCTCATAGCACGGGTACAAGGGGCCCGACTGATGAGCCCCCCATTAACTAGTTCCCTTTAATTAGTTACCGTGGTTGTCATATTGTAAGTAGTGGTTGGACTGCTCTCCAGGCGTGTAGATCAAACCCATGTCACCCAACGCTGGGGCACGCCTTGGTCGCTAGGGTTTAAGCTGTGCCCTCTCTGTGCAAAGCCTGTGCCAACCAGTGACCTGCACTTAATTTGTCTTACGTGCATGGGTGAGGGACACTGGGAAGATCACAGCCAGATCTGCCCAATTTCAAGCTGTAAACCAAAAAGGATCTGGCAGCAGGATGGAAAGTCCTCCTCCCGAAGGCGGCAATGAAGCCTGCCTTGGAGCCAACAGCTGACTCAGCATCAAGCCCATCAGCATTGGTGCAGCCCACACGGCCTCCCCCAAGAACTCGCGGCACGGCTCTGCTTGATGGTGCCCAAGAAGCGGAGCAGAAGTCCTCAGAAGACCATTGCCTCAAAGGCAATCAGGGAGAGGGTGAGACCCATATCTAGGCGCTCTCCCACGATGGTGCCACAGCAGCATCCAGCACTGGCACCACAAACACCTTGAGGTGAAATGGTCCCCCCCGCTTGGCACCAGGTGGGGGTGACTTTGTGGTACCATCAGCTCTGCCCTGGGCCAGCAGCTCGAGGCACTCCCAGTCTATGTCTACACTGCTTCCCTCTTCCGCAAGAGCCTATGCAAATGAATAATGAATTAGCATATTGCCACATTCATTTGCATAATTAATTAGGAGTCATTTTTGCGCAAAAAACCCCTCTTGCACAAGAGCCATTCTTCCAGAAAAAATGAGGAAGAACGGCTCTTGCGCAAGAGGGGGTTTTGCGCACGAAAGGCGCTGTGTTGACTGTGCCTTTTTGTGCAAAAGCTTCTTGAGCAAAAATGGCTGCTCATTAATTATGTAAATGAAGCATGGCAATATGCTAATCCACACTTCATTTGCATAGGCTCTTGCGGAAGAGGGAAGCAGTGTAGACGTAGGCCTAGTCAGTGCAGTTGAAGCCTAGGGCAGCACCAGGACACAACAAGAACACACTGGGATTGATGCTGGAGCCAGCCCATGTACCATCTCCGGCCTTGAACCCATGACAGTCCCAGTACAGAGGCAGGTTTGGGAACAGGTACTGGGCATAAGGTCCAAGCTGGCCACGAGGAGATTCTCCTGGATGCTGGGACAGCACATCCCCTCTCCTCCTCCTCCCCAGAGGATGACCTGAGGGCCCACCAAGACTGACATGGGTGGCCTCTGGTTTGAGCCTTCAGGTGGAGGTTGTCAGGGAGTTCTCGAATGGTTTCCGGGACATTTTGAAGGCTGCAGCCCCTGCAGAGGTCGCTCTTCCCTGGCACATCTCCATTGTGGGGCCAGTAAAAACCCTTTGGCAAAACCTAGTATCCATCCCTGCCATAGCCAAGAGAACGGAAAGAAAGTACTTTGTGCCAGCCAAGGGACGAGAGTTTCTATTTCCTCCTCTCCTGCCTGGGTCTCTCGTTGTAGTGGGTGCTAATGAAAAGGGCTGTTGGGCAATACAGGATTGACTCCAAAGCAAAGGAGCAGAAAAAGCTGGACATGCTGGGGGAGACGACCTATGCTAGGGGAGGACTCCAGCTGTGCATAGCGAACCAGCCGGCCTTTGTAGCTCAGTGTCAGAGTTCCCACAAGAAGTCCAGCAGGCACTGAAAGACCCGAGGCCCTGCCATTTCTCCGAACAAACCGACACAAGGCTCCACGGTGTTAAGGACACTAAAGCGACTCTGAAGTCCCTGATTTGCACTGCCATTCCCAGCCCAGGAGATCGTATGGGCCATGGCAGTTTGGCTGCTTTTATCCTCAACAGAGAGGTGACCAGGGGAGACAAAGCCATAAAGACTTGGGGTGCAGGCCACACCCATCTTCCTCCTCTTTGGCAGGGTTCTCTCCCCTGGCTCCATGTCATTCGGGTGGCTTGGAGCACTCATTTCGTTGGGTTTGTTGAGGCCAGCAAACCAATTCCACTTCCCAAGGATCTGGTTATGCCTGTTTTTTCCAACCATTTTGCCCACTTCCTTGAGGCCTGGAAACAGGTCACTTCTGTCTACTGGATCAAACATAGTGAAGGTCGACAACATCCTCTTGTTCATTTCCACTCCACCATGCCCTGATCCAAAGAGGAGCTGGTGATCCACATTAGTGTCACAGAGCTCAGGGGACTTCCTCTTGCATGTCAAGTGTTCTTACCTCCTCCTGTGAACACAACAGTCTCTGTGTCACGGACAATGCGTCAGCCACGTACTGCCTCAATGGGCAGAGTGGAGCCTCTTCTTCCCCTTGTTAGGAAACAGCGCGCCTATGGGAGTTCTGAGGAGTCCTGTGGCACCTTATAGACTAACTGAAGTGTAGGAGCATAAGCTTTCGTGGGCAAAGACCCACTTCGTCAGATGCACGTCAGCTTCTGCAGATTCAGACTAACACGGCTACCCCTCTGATATGGGAGTTCTGCATCACACCTTCAATCACAGGCGAAAAATCATGGCAGACAGGGGAGATTCCAGAAGACTGGAAAAGGGCAAATATTGTGCCCATCTATAAAAAGGGGAATAAGAACAACCCAGGAAACTACAGACCGGTCAGTTTAACGTCTGTCCCAGGGAAGATAATGGAGCAGGTAATTAAGGAAATCATATGCAAACACTTGGAAGGTAATAAAGTGATAGGGAATAGCCAGCATGGGTTTATGAAGAACAAGTCATGCCAAACTAATCTGATACCTTTCTTTGATAAGATAACGAGCCTTGTGGATAAGGGAGAAGCGGTGGATGTCATATACCTAGACTTTAGTAAGGCATTTGATACGGTCTCGCATGATATTCTTATTGATAAACTAGGCAAATATAACTTAGATAGGGCCACAATAAGATGGGTGCATAATTGGCTGGATAACCATAGTCAGAGAGTTGTTGTTAACCTCTAAAAATTTGAAATGTAGGTCAGACCCCTTTGGAAATCTTAGATGTACTCTGTGGACCCCCATGTTGTCCACAGATCACAGTTGAAAAATCACTGTTCTATGGCAACAATGACCTTTTACAGACCCTCATGGACATAGTCTGTGGACGACATGGGTCCACAGGCCTGAAATTGAAAAACACTGGCCTGCACCATTAATGACCCAAGGGAGCCTTATTCTTGAACCTCATTGAAATTTCTTTACATAGTTAAAGAATCTATACTATAAATATTACTGCATCAGAAATAATTTCTGGTAAGTCTTTAAAGTCATTGAGCCAAATTGACTTTAGATACTTGCACACAGCACACTGAATTCAGTGAGAGTTGTACTTGTTAATGTGAAAGCAGGATTTGGACTTTCCTCTTGCGGTATCTATGAGACAATGTATGTGTGCCTGTATCTATAGTGTAGACGCTAAATTCCTTGTATCTTTGTAAAGTAGCCACACTATAAAGCCCTGTATAGACAAAGTGAAAACTGTAGTAGGATACTATGAAGCAACTCCATGGAATATTTGCAATTTCGTAAAAGAAAGGATTTAATGTTCTCCCTTCATTGCTGTACTTTGTAAATTAAATAATCTGGTAATATAAAAATGTATATAGGTACTAGTTCTCTTGGTTTCTGAGGACAGGACAAGGAGTAATGGGCTTAAAGTGCAGCAGGGGAGGTTTAGATTGGACATTAGGAAAACATTCCTAACTGTCAGGGTGGTCAAATATTGGAATAAATTGCCAAGGGAGGTGGTGGAATCTCCCTCTCTGGAGATATTTAAGAACAGGTTAGATAGACATCTGTCAGGGATGGTGTAGACGGAGCTTGGTCCTGCCTTGAGGGCGGGGGGCTGGACTCGATGACCTCTCGAGGTCCCTTCCAGTCCTATGATTCTATGATTCTATGATTCATTCCTACTGGGGTGCAGAACCAGCTTGCGGGCCGTCTCATCCGATCCTCCACTCACCACGGATGGGCCTCACACGCGAGTGTCATGCAGAGTGTTCCAACGGAAAGCCAGCAGCTCTTCACCCTTAGGGGCCACAGTCCGGGCTCGCTAACAGATGCATTTCTGCTAACTGGCTGTGTCACCTCCATGGTGCCTTTCTACCCATATTGCTGGTTCACAAGGTGCAACCAAAGATCAAGCAGGACCATGGTTGGGTCATCCTGGTAGTTCCAGCGTGGCTCAGACAACAGCACTGGTTCGTCTCCCAAGCAGGGCCTTTCTGGAGGTCGTTACTTCTACCAGGAAGGTTTCAAAATTCTGGCCCCTTATAGCAAAACCACCCTATAGAGAGTCCCTTAAGGACAAGGGTTAGCTTCCGCCACACTCTGAATTCCTGCCAAAATTCGTGTCCCAGTTTCACTCCAGCCAGCCGGTCTTTCTGCCAGTGTTTTACCCTACCCGTGTGCAGCTAGGGAGGAGCAGCATCTGTATTCCTTGAACGGCAGACTGGATCTGACATTTTCTATTGAAAGGACAAGACCGTTCCATAGGTCACCACAGCTCTTTGTACCAAGAGAGGGCAGAATGAAAAGGCTTCCCATGTCTGTTCAGAGGATCATGTCCTGCATCGTGTCTTGCATACGAGTGTGTTACAACCTTCTCCAACACTGACTGTCCACTCCGCAAGGGCCCAAGCCTCCTCGGCAGCCATCTGAGCTCAAATGTCAATCCAGGACAAGCGTAGTGCAGCCATCTGGTTATCTGTGCCCACCTCCTCCATGCACTGTGCTATCCTGCAGCAGGCCAGAGATGATGCCTGCTCTACACACAGCTTGTCCTCGAACTCAGAGCCCACCATGTGACTGCTTGTGAGTCACCCAAGTGGGAATGGAGATGTGCAAGCAGTTGAAGAATCAACAACCGTTACCCACCTCTCATTAGTGTGGCTCTTCGAGATGTGTTGCACACGTCCATTCCAAAACCCACCCGCTGGCTCCACTCTGAGTAGTCAAGCACTATAAGCGTGTGGCACCAGGGAGCATCCAAGCTGAGCCAAGGGGTACCCCCAGGGGAAAATCCCCAATACCTGGATCGGAGCACTTGCGCACCTACGGTGCAGTGGACATGTGTAACGCATCTTGAAGAACAAGCATTGTGAGAGGTAGGTAATCGTTTTTTCTACCGACCCCCTGATTTCCATGTGAGCTGCAGTGTCTCCGTTAGGTGGATGTCCAGCCTTGATCTAAAGCCTGCAAAGGAAAGAGAATCCACCGTGGCCCTCAGTGATCTGCTCCAGCAGTTAATGACCCGATAAAATGCACGTCTTATTCCTCGTCTGCATCGGGTGGTGACGGGAATAGGGACACGCCGTCTGGGTCCGTTATCACTTTGTGCTTTGCCCTGCTGCCAACTCGCCTGGTAACTCCCTAATCTCAGCCTCTCCCTCTTGTCTTCTGCTCTTTGCAGCTGCGGGACTATCACTGACACCGTTCTGGGGTCCTTAGCTGAACGGCCGTTACGTCAGCATCACCAGCCCTGTGGCACCAGCTGGAGGTGAGCGCTCAGAAGTGGGAGTGACAGTCCATGCGGAGGGGAAGCACCTCTCCTTGCGCTGGGGGCAGGGGCAGGGGGGCGTGGAATGAGCACGTGTCCCCTAATAAACTTCTCTGGTCCCTGCCTGCATCTCTCCAGTCCATTGTCTCTGTCCCCCAGATTTTCCCCCTCCCCCGCTTCCTTCCTGCCCCCATGGGTAACACGGTTCTGACACCACAGAGCCAGAGAGGCCGCGGCTCCAAACCCCAGATGGCTTTGAGTTAATCCAGCTCTTCTGCTCCTGCTTCCAGCCCTTCGCACACCCACTGCCCCGGCCCCAGCCTGCTCCCCTGCCTGAGTACAACCCATCCCTGCATCCCCTGCCCCTCCTCCCAACCTGGGCAACTCTCCCATTCTCTATTCCCCCTCAGCGCAAGGATCACTGACAGCGTGGAGCCATCCTGGCAGCTGTTGTTTTGAAATAACTTTCCTAGCATCTACACCGGCCATCTGCTATTTCCCTTTCTGGCATGCCTGGCCCTGAGGCTGGAAGAGCACAGCTGACTGCTGAGATGGGGCCAGATTCCAGGCTGGTGTGCTCCCCTCACAGTGGCACGGGGATTGCAGATGCTCGTGAATTTCACCGCTGTCCTGCGCACAGTGAACACGGGCCGGGCAGCGTGACCTGAGCCTGGGCCACGAGGTGGCTCTTCATGTGTGGAGGAGAATGGCCACGTTCCAGCAGTAACAGGCTGATGTGTGTCTGCTGTCACCACCCTGGTATCCTGCCCCTGCTCTGCCGATGACCCTCGACCCTGCCCTGCCACCGCCCGCTCTCCCAGAGAACCTTACAGGAGACATTGGCTCTGTCTAGGCTCCTAGGCTTGAAGGCCAGAAAAGACTGGCACAATCATGTAGTCGGACCTCCTGCATATCACAGGCTACAGAACCGCACCCACCCGCTCTTACAATGGGCCTCTAACCTCTGGCTGCGTGACTGGTGGCTTCTTATCATGTTACAGAGAATCCACCATTCACCAAAAATCTGAAGTGACCTGTGCCCCACGCTGCAGGAGAAAGTGGAAAAACCCAACCAACCCACGGTCTCTGTCAGTCTGACTCCGCAGAAAGTTTTCCCCTGAGCCCAGATATGGAGATCAGTTAGAGCCTGAGACCCACCAGCCAGAATCCTCTGTAGTAACACAGAGCCCTCCCTGGCTACTGTCCCATCAATGGCCAGATCTTCTGTGAAAGTGTTTCTGAATCTGTGTCCCGTGGCACACCAGTGTTCCTTGGTCTTAAACACTTTAAAAAACACTGTTCTGTGAGATTCTGGACCTCCTCCCTCTGGGCCTGGGCAATGCCACCCAACTCTGGGTATGTCTACACTATAGAGTTTTGTTGGAAACACGGCCGTATTTCTGACAAACCCTGAGTAACGTCCACACTGCAATCGAAAGTAAATTGAAAGAACAGAGGGGTTTTTCCGGCATCGGTAATGCTCCTTCTCCGAGGAAGAAGCTTTTTTGCGAAAGAGCTCTTTCAGAAAAAGGCGTGTGTGGACGGGGGAAAGGGAGTTCTTTCGGAAGAAGAGGAAAGAGGAAAAAGCACAGGTGCCCTGGTGGCCATTCCGTCTCCAGCAATCACAGCTTGAATGCGAGAGAGTGTCCATTCGGTGTGGATGCTATCTGTCAAAAAAGCAGCTTGCTTTTTCGATGCGCTTTGGCAGTGTGGACGCTGTCTTTCGGAAGAAGGTTTTTCAGAAGATCTCTTCCAGAAAAGCTTCTTCCGAAAGATGCCTGCAGTCTAGACATAGCCTCTTATGAGCCAACTCCCACTTTTTGTGCCAGGTTCATTAATAAAGATGTTAAATCACACTGCTCAATCTCCAGACTCCATATGTAGCCCCCCTCCAGCCTGACCGTTCATCGATCAGCATGGCCCTCGGTCGTCTCTCTTTTCAATTCACAAATCTTCCCCATCTTCTCCAATGCAACTAATAATTTCCCATGAATTGTATCAAATTCCTTGTGGCAATCCAGAAAGATCAGGGCCACTGCTTTTCCTTTGTCTAAGAAATCCGTTATCTTCTCAACCAGGCAGCTCAGCTTGGCCTGGCATGATCGACCTATGGTGACGCCGCGCCGTGTTTGAGTCCAACTGCCATTTACCTGTCTCCTTAACTACTTTCCCTTCAAAATGTAGTCCAAGACCTGGCATACAACTGAGGGCAGACTAACGGGGATGTGGTTTCCTGGATCATTTTTCTTCCCTCCCTTCAAACAGGTCCTATATTTGCAATTCTCTGATCTAGGATGTGACAGAGTCATCAGAAATCCTTGGTAGTGGGCTGCAGGTCACGTGCCAGGTCCTGCCGTGTTCTCGGACGGGGATGGTGCAGGCCCGAGTTAGCGTCCCAGGACGCTGTTTGACTTTGACGTTCACCTCGGCTCTGGTGATTTCTGCTCCCACATCACTGTCCCATTGCCCCCCGGCCCCTATCCAGAGGCTGTTGGGCCATGCTGGGCCTCGATGACCTTTCATCTCCACCCCGTAGCTGCAAGGCTGCTGCTGCAGATCTTGATTGTGTAATGAGATTAAGTCCATTTATTAACTGGCAAAGACCCCCCCCAGCTCCCCCCCTTCGCCCCTCC